CAGTGGAGAACATTTGCTATTCCTAAATTGGTGTTTCTGCACAGAAAACTGTAAGTCCTAGATACTAAAACAAAAGACAATGAATGAATAGCCTACTTTAATTGGAATTTAGAAGCTTCTAAGACAGAGGTTCTCAACCGGTGGGTCATGACCCCTTGGTGTCTAAGGACCCTTTCCCAGAGGTCACCAAGATCACAAGATCCATAAGAGTAGCAAAATAACAGTTACAAAGTAACAATGAAAGTAATTTTATGGTGAGGGGTCACCACAAGACAAGGAACTGCATTAAAGGGTTGAAGCATTAGGAAGGTTGGAGAGAAGAAACAGTAAAATTGCTAATTTACAGAAAATGAATAGAGAACATTTGAAAAATGTAAAAGGCCCCAGACCTTAGTAGGGCCCCAGCCCTTAGCACAACCGATTCCATGATGGAAGTACCATTCAGGGAGTAAAACTTAACGTGAAGACAGCACCACTTGTCAAAACAAACAAAACAGAGACCTAATCCATCAAAGCCCATAGTTCTGGGAAATCTCTAAATGTACTAACCTTGTGTTTGGCTTCTGTAGTTCCACTTCTGGCTAACTTCTTGTTAAGTGAAGTATGTCAACACAGATCCTGGTTTTTGTGTTTAAAAGCTCACCCTGAGAAAGACTCAAGGCTACTCTGGGATCCCAAATACCCAGTATAGTAGCTGACTGGCTAATAAAGACTTTCTATTGACTTAAACTTATGTCAGAGCAGATGTCTCTGGTGGATATCCCACAACAAAAACAGCATCAGAATGGAACAGGAGACCGGAAAGAAAATCTCAGAGAGTGTGTCAAAAGTAAAGATAAATGCTGAAGAACGCAACACATCTCAACCCTCTGCTGTCATCTATCCCTTCGTCCCCTCGCCTCCTCCAATAGAACTTCAGCTTCCCCCTCCTTTACCACTCTTCTTTCCTACCCTCTCCCTAGAAACTCCCAGAGACTTATGCCATTCTCAAGAGGAATCAAATTCTATAGTAAAGGAAAAATAGTACAGCTCCTTTAAAACTAAAACTGAGAGGGAGAGGGGTCTCAGATACTGTCTATCCTCCCTGGACAAAAGTGAACTAAAATCTTTGACTATGGGCTTCTCTTGTTACTGAAAGCTTTCTTTGTCCCACCTGGTCCAGCTGCCTTTGGGCCCCAAATAAACACACAGATGCTATTTATTAAGTATAAAGCTGTTGGCTGATGAGTAGGGCTTCTTATTGACTAGCTCTGTCTTAATTATTAACCCATTTCTATCAATCTATGTATTGCCACAAGGCTGTGGCTTACCCAGTAATGCCCTGGCATGTTGTTACTCCTTCAGCAGCATTTCGACTCTGTGTGGCACAGAATTCTCCTTTTCTCCTAGACTGGCCTATCTTCCTGCCTCATTGACCGAACAGTGTTTTCAAACAATAAGAGAAACATTTATACAGAAGGACAACCCCCATCATTCTCTGACCAATAGAAAGAAGCTCTGGGATGTGGAAAAGAATTTCATGTTACTCTATTAGCATATGAACCAAGGTATTTCTAGCCTAAATCAATTAATCCAATTATTGCTTTCAGGGAGTAAGTCAAAAGAATGGCTTTGCTTGGAAGAGTGGAACCCCCCCCCACCTCCGAGGACTTTTGTAAAATAGATGATAACATGCTAGCAGTAGGTTAAGAAATCATCTTTCTGATCTTATCCAAAATTATTCCCACAAGCTCTTGATTGGGCCAAAATAATACAACAATGTAAAAAAAAAAAAAAAAAAAAAAAAAAAAAAAAACGCCAGGGGAAACTGTACCTGACTTCTATGTCAGGTTTCCAAAAACATTAGAGTACTCAGGAATTCTCCCTAAGAACGTTGAGGGTCACATAAATGATGTCTAAAGTTCCTGGACTTTGGCTATGGTGTGCTTTGGGGGACCTTGTTCCTGTGTTATATGGTATGTTCCCTGCAATTGCAGCATTCCCTACAAATGAATATCTCCTCTGGGAGGGAAAGGGAGACTCCCTAGCTATAAACAGGAGATAAATAAAGGTCATGCCTGAGAACAAGAAGATTCTTGAAGGCCTCTCCCCAACAGTGTAAACAGTGGGGAAAGAGATGTCTGGACCATAGAGTAGCTGCAAGCTGCAAAGCAGATCTGGGATGCAAGGTTATGGGAGTCATCACCCATGTTGGGTGGGCTTCCTAGTGAAGCAGCTGCTTTTGAGTTATCCCTGTTCCTTGTAAGTAACCCTCATCCACACTCATGTTAGTAATTCCAATAAAAACCCATTAGTTCACCAAACTGGACATTGGCACGATCATTGCTTTAGCCTGTTGTGAGCTCTCTTTCTTGAGTTGATTTTTCCTTAGTTTTCTTCAAATAGTCAAAAGTTTTATATACAGAGTTACCAGATCTGCCTCTTTCACATTTTGTGAATCATGATAATCAAATGCATTTGTCTCTTTAGGTTTGTAAAATAGTTCATACCATGGGCTTTTAGATAGATTGGATAGATAGATAGATAGATAGATAGATAGATAGATAGACATGAATGGATGGATGGATGGTTAGATATAACACACACACACACACACACACACACACACACACACACACACACACACACAGCCTACCAACAGAAGGTTCAAGAATGCAGTAATTGTTCAGTCCATGAGGCTGGATGTCTCAGCTGGTCTTTGCTATATGTTGGAATTCTGAATAAGTAGGTGCCAATGCTAGCAAAGGAATGGATTTTCCGGTGACAGCAAGCAGGTGAAGAGAGCAAGCTTCCTTCTTCCATGTCCTTTATATAGGCAGCCAGCAGAAGGTATGGTCAAGATTAAAGGTGAATGTTCCCTTATCAAAAGATCTGGATAAAAGTGGGTCTTCCCACTTCAAATTATTTAATTAAGAAAACGCCTCACAATGTACCCAGCCACTTGGGTTTAGTTAATTCCAGATGTAGTCAAATTGACAACCAAGAATAGCTACCAGAAGTCTACCCCTTGTCAACTTGACACACAATCTATCTTCTATGCCATGCTTAATTTCTAAATGAAAACAATAACCAGATCATAATTATACCTAACATGGTGTAACTATCCTATGTACAATAGCAAAAGCATTATATATTTAACTAGGTCATATTTATGGCTGATACAATTGTCCCTCATACAACCACAAATGCATTATAAATTTAAGAGTAGGGGGGAATGTCTCCTGAGAGACATTTTTGTAGTATCTCAAACGTAAATATGATAACCACTGATATTCTCTTAATTGATGTTACATTACATGATAAAGAAATTGAAAGAAAGCACAAATATCTGTACAAATACATTCTTAACAAAATATGACAGAAACACTCATGTCAATTGTAATCTTCAATTCTGGAACTGATCACATGACTGGTATTTATAATTACTATCCTCTACTTGCCATTCTTCAGTTTCTCTACCCTTAGCAAGCACCTCAGAAGGTCTTGGCTCTTTTCCTGGAGAAGTAACCCACACCTTCATTGGTAAAGGGTCTGTGCCCTTTGTCATCCTGCCTGGGTTAGGTTATCTGACTCATCTCCATTGCTCCAACCTTGCAGTTCATGCTGAATCTTTGCTTCTGGAACCTCTTATGGGGAGCCAGTACCCCAGAATAAGCTCTTCCTTCACACAGGTTTCTCCGCTCCCTCTCCCTCCCTCGCCATTGCTCTGCTGGAGGAAGCTCAGGTTGTTTTCTTTCCATTTTATTTCCCACTAGATTCTCACTTCCTCCTTTCTCCCCCTGCTCAACAGGGCATGAAGATATATAGTCCAGCAGCCCTATACCAGAGGAGAGAGGACCCATTCTTCTTCCTGGGAGCTCCTGGGTCTCTAGGAGTTCTCTTTCTTGGAGCCTTCTGCAGAGTTGAGTGGTTAGAAGAAATGGAGAAACTTCCATCAAAGTTTCCCTCTCAGGCGAATAGTTCCACTCAGCCCCCTCCCACATTAGTTGAGTGGACACACTGGAAAAGGAAGATGGGGTGTGGCATGAGGGGGGGAAAGAAGGCAGGCTGGCTTCATCATCACTCCTAAGGGCACACCTGACACCAAGGGGCTCATTATTATTATGGTATTTCTTCTATGCACACTGGACATGCAACATCTTTCATGTCAAGTTATTTTTCATAGGGGAAAAAGATTACAAAAAACAGTTAAGGCTGGAGTTGTATCTGGAAGTAGCATAATTACTTAATATGCACAAAATTATTAGATCAATTCCTAGTACTACAAACAAACCAAATCAAAGTCCTCAAAACAACAAAGTGAACAACTGAAAAGTCAGATATAATAGAGTAAGGAATAGAGAGAAATCCAAGGGAGGGCCTTTCCCTATCAGGTCAGAGAAACAGGCTGCTATGCCTTGGGTTCATTTTTCTGTAGCTTATTATATGATTCTGAGCAACAGGAAATAAGAGGGCAACATTTATGAACCCACTTAAATGGAGACCATTGGTTAGGCTTTAAAGTCCATGTTCCATCTTTATCGTATCTGGTTGTACTGACAAGGTTCACTGTACTTGCCTTTCTGGGACTCAGCATCCGTCCTGTATTGCCAGACATTGTCCCAGGTCTATAATAGAGCAGACTCTGAGTGACAGTGATGTCTACTGAATGTATTGGTCCCTCCAGGAAAGGGGAGTCTAAGGCTCAGTACATCAGACTCCAGCTCTGCAGCTAGAAGCTGGGGATGAGCTCAGTCCCTCCCTAGTCTGGCTTATGGGGTTCCAGAAAATCAGCACCCAGGCAACATGGTAAACTTTATTTGGCTGTGGGCTTGAGGGATGGAGAGAGACCTTAGCCACAATGACCACTTCCCTCACTGTGGCTCAAATTTCTGCCCAGACTCTGCTAAGTGTGGGCAGCAAGGATATAAAGGACAGCCTAGGTTGGGAAGATACCAGCCCCAGAGGCTCATGGGCTAATGTAGAGCTTCATCCAAGTTTGTCACGGGAACATTCCTACCATGGCTACTACACTTTGGAAGGGTCTGGTCCTGGGGCCTCTTCTGCCAAAACTTCTGCTGGTATTTGCAGGTGAGTCTTGGCCTTGGAGACACGAAGGGCAACACTCCAAGGTGACAAAATGGGGTTCCAGACAGAAGCTGAGTCCCAGGGAACCTTCCTGGGCTGTTTGTACCTTTTCCATATTGTAGACCTTTCAGGGACAGGGAGGTAGTGAGAGCTCAGGCATCAGAGGAAGAAAGTGACACAGAGGTGGGGGCTAGGAGGCCTGGTGGCAAGGAAGGAGCCTGGGTTCTGTGATGTTAGCTCCAGACTTTCTGGCTATCATGTCTAGAAGCCTGAAATTACATATAAGCATTTATATGTAATATATATTTTATAAGTATATAGAGAGAGAGGGGAAGGGAGAAGGAGGAAAAAGGGAGGATGAGGGGGGGATAAACCTGAGTAATGAATTCTGGATCCAACAGCATCAGGTGAACTTTCTAAACCTTCCTTAGTCACTGACAGACTATGTGACTATGAGCAAGTTCCTAAACCTGTCTGAGTCTCTGCTCCCCAGGGAAGAGAAGGCAACAATCCTATCCTCCAACAGTCGGGTTGTGGGTGAAATGAGCCTCTATACCTGGAAGTGATTTATAACCCATCAGGTGCTATGTGGAAGGTGTCAGAGCCCATGGCACAGTTCTCTACCATGTGTTTCTCTGTCATTGCAGGACTACTTGTCCTACTCTTGCAACTTGACTTTGAAAGAAGGGTTCTTGTCACCGGGACCCTAGAATTTAACTCACAGTCTGAGTGCAGTAGGGGTGCAGCATGACAATTAAACCACTGCTCTGAATCTCCAAACACTGTCCTCAGGAGATGGGCAACCTTTATTACTCCAAAAGACAGACCCTCTGTTAGGAGTAGTGAGTGCTTTGTCACGGTCCTGGCTGCATGGGGTTAAATGGAATGTGCTCTCATTGTTTAGGTTGCTTCCATTTCCTATGAAAACAGAGCAAAACTGAACCTGGTTGAGCAAGTATTGGTGGCACAGGGTGTTGAATCCTTGGGTATATGCTGAAGAGCAGTTTAACTGGGTCATGGGGCAGATTTAGTTTTAGCTTTTTGAGAATTCCCCACAGGTATTTTTTTCTCCATCAGTTTTCAGAGGGGCAGCAGCAGCGTGCAATCCCGTCAATAGTGACTAAGGGTTTACCTTTCCTCACTCCCTCACCTGCCTTTGCTGCTAGTTCTTAATCTTAGCCAATCTCATCTAAGTAGGGTGTAATTGTAGCTTCCCTTGTCTTCTTTCTTAGACGCGTGGCGCTGCAAATTCCTCCCTTCTCTTTGAGATTTGCTTCTAGTATTCTGTGGGGCTGTTTTGATGGACATGGATTCTTTTAGCTTGTTAGTGTGATGAAAAGGCCTTCATTCCGTGGCATGTAGTTTTGCTGGGTGGAGATGCCAATCTAGATTGGCATTTGTGGTCTTTTAGAAGTTGAAGAGCATTACTTCAGGCTTTTAAATTTTCCATCGAGGAATCAGCAGTTAATATGATGGGGTTTCCTTCATATGGGAATTGGGAATTTTTCTCGTTTTGCCTTTTGTACCCTCTCTTTGTTCAGTATATTTAAAGTTTAACTATAACGTGCATGGGGAGTTTTGCTTCTGGTCTTGTCTATTTGCTGGACTGTGTGTTTCTTGTATCTATATGGGTGTAACTTACCTTAGTCTGAGGAAGTTTTCTCCTGTGATCTTGTGGAAGATGTGGTCTTTGCCATTGACTTGGGATTCTTTTCTTTCATCTATTTCCATAATTAAATTTGGTCTTTTTTTTATGTTGTTTCATAGTTTATGAATGTTCCTTTCAAGAGCTTTAAATAATTATAATTACTATTAGCTTGAGTGTTCTAGTTCCTCTACTTTACCTCTAAGACATATTTTATCCTCTACTTGATCCATCCTATTTGTAAAGCTTTTCCCTGAGTTTTCTAATTGTGTCGTTAGTTATTCAATTCTCTTTGTTACCGCATAAGTTTTCTTCAGTATTTCTCTCTTTACCAAATTCTGGACTTTGTTCCTCGTTTTATTCAGCAACAGATATTTTCTTGTACATTTATAGTTTCCCTCTTCAAATTCATTAGGCTGTGTTTTGTATCTTCCTTAAATTTCATGATTTATTTGATAAGGTTTCTGGTTGTTCTTTTAAGTTCTGTGTTCTGGGATTCAACTCTGTAATTCACCCTGAGGAACGTGTCTGTGGGACTGGTGGGTATGGGGAGAGGGGATACTTTATTGTCCTTTTATATTCTTGTGTGTTTTGTGATGTTTCCTGGGCACGTGGACTTCTTTCTTTGGTTGTATGCCTGCTGTGAGACTCTAGGCTGCATTATATTGTGGCAGTGCTGGGACCGAATGAATGGAGGCAGACCAGGAACACCTGGTGTTTGGTCGGCTCATTTAAATTTGGTCTGTGGAGATGGTCGGCGTGGGTCAAGGGGACTCAGTTTGTGATGGTTATATGTGAGGTAAGTGTCCAGAGACATGCCTGTAAGTGTAGACATAATACAGAGGCAGGTGGGGGCCAGAGGATGTCCTCGACCAAAAGGGTACGTGAGGTGTGTGTCTGGAGCTAGTGTTCGGTGTGTGGTTGTGTGTGAGGAGTTGAGTATGCAAAGGTGATGCACAGGTTGCATATCCAGAACTAAGCTAGTGAGTATGGGCACGGTGCAGGGCTAGGTGTGGGTCAGAGAAACCCAGCAGGAAAAGACTGCGCAAGCTACAGAATTAGGCCTGCACGTGTGGAAAGCAATGTTGCAGCCTTGTAGTAGATTTGTTTTCTGAAGCCTCCTAAAGTCTTGCTGCCTGATGCAGTCAAAGAGCAGTACAGCTGGTTTCTATGTATGGGTCTAGCTGTCCTGGAACTCACTTTGTAGACCAGGCTGGCCTTGAACTCTGCCTCTGCATTCTAAGAGCTGGGATTAACTTCATGCAACATTATATGCACAGTTTTGCTTTGTTTGTTTGTTTGTTAAGTTCAAAATGTCCTTCTTGACCACCCTTTCAGGACTCCTCACTGTTCCATGTCTGCACATGCTGCATTTCCAGAACATTCACTCCCACACAGCAGCCATATTTCATTTGCTGTTTGCTCCTATTTGCTCATTCCCATTCTCCTCAAAGGCAGATATCACAGGTAGTGTATGCTCCCTTGAGCATGGATGCAGGGAATGCATTTTGACTTGAGTGAGCCATTGCTTTATATCTCTGAAAGTGTGACCACAGGAGAAAGGACAGTTTTCACTACTCATAGGACAGGCCTTGGTAGGGGTCACTTATTGTTGTATATTGGTTCCTCCAACAATGAGAAGGTGGTCACAACTGGTTTTTGTTTTTTGTTTGTTTGTTTTTTATTTTCTCAGCTGGGAACCCTTTCATCTCTCTGAAGGGCCCAGAGCAGAGGACAACCACTTCAAATTCAGTGCCTTTTACCTGCACCGCTGGCCTTTTCAGCTCTCGAAACCTCAATGTCAACTGGTTGAAGGACAATAATAAATACCTAGCCCAAGCCCCACAACTGGAGTCCATCAGTAAAGATGTTTACTACGTCACAAGCAAGGCATGGGTGTCATTGGCCAAACAAGATATTTTTTCTCAGATCACCTGTGAAGTCACCCATGCGGACCTCGATGAGCCCCTAAAAATGACCATGAATCTTTCCCAAGTGCTCCTAGGTAAGTGATCAGTGAAATATGTGGTTGGGCCACACTGGTACCATGGAGGTTTTCCCAAAGGCCCCATTTTACACATGGGGAATAGAAATTGATCACTGCCAGTATTGAGCACATGAATATGGACTAAAAGTATAGATTCCACAGGCTGGCTAGCTGGGCTTTGATCTTAGCTGTATCATTTCCTAGGCTGATGAATATTGGCCATGTGTCTTAAATATTCCAGGCCCCAGTTTCCTTAAAAATTTGGAATGAAACCAAGACCTACTTTGTAAGTTTCCTCTGAAGATTAAGCCAGCTGTTCCTTCTAGAACACAAAGAAGTATGCCTAACACACTAGCTTGTTTATGAATGTTTGACCTTGCTATGGTATGGACCTAGCATCCCTCTCTAAACATATGTGCCCTGTTGATTATCATTAATAATGTTTAAAAGGTTCTAAATATGTATTATTAGCTGGAGCTTGTGGTATAAGGCATGTAATCTCAGCTCCTTGGCAAGCAGGCAGGTATATAACGAATTCCAGGCCTGTAAGGATTAAGACTGAGTTCAAGGCCAGCCTGGACAACTTAGTGAAATCAAATAAAAGAAGTGGAAAATGGGGCTGAAGATGAACTTACCGTGGTAGAGTGCTTGTCTCTTATGCAGAAGACCCTAAGTTCTGGGAAATCTTCGGTATTATGCAAAATATTATTCACTCAATAAATAATGAACAGCTGCTGTGTGCCAGGCACTGTTGTAGGTGTTGTGATTATAGAGTCCCTGATCCTGTGGGGCAATTCACTTTAATAATTCCTACAATAGTATGTCATGATATGGAATATATAGAACTCTGACCAGATTAGATATCCATATAAACAGCTTTGTTTCATGAATATTTATACTTGTCCCTATTTGTCTTACATGAAACATATAAAAATGTTTATTTAAAAAGAGAGTGAACTCATGAACTCTCTTCACTTGTGAACTCCACAGCAGCTGTGTAGGAATTGTATGAGATTGAGACATCTGACATTCCAGCATGAAATGGAGGTCCTCATAGACTCTGCCCCTAGCTGTGGATCTAATGAAAGCTGGTAGTTTCTGAAGGAATGAGAGTGAGTTTTCAATAAGGGTATGGCCCTGGCAGGGCAAGCATGCTCCAGTGTCTCAAACCCATGAGTATATAATCAGCACCTATTAGACTGGCTAGATTGTAAGAAAAGAGGGGCTGAAGAGAGGACCTAGTGGTGGCAGAAGGATCAGGAATTCAAGATCACCCCTGGTTACATAATGACTTTGAGGTCATGTTGGAATTCTTAGGACCCTGCCCATCAGTCACTCAATCAAATTTTAACAAAATAACTGAGAGACCTGAGACAGGGAAATAAGACACTTCTAAAATTTCACCTGTGTTTACCCATTGTTTTTGCCTAGTTATCCCCACACTGAAGATCACCACGGAACCTCCGGAGATCCATGATCATGGGCATCAAAGAGTGAACTTGACTTGCCATATAAACCACTTCTACCCCCAAGCCATGCAACTTACCTGGATTAAGAATGGGCACAAGATCCCGATTCTTGAGGTCCCTCAGGCCACCAGAAACTCTGATGGGACATACTCTCTAAAGCACACCTTGCAGGAAGATGTCATGTCGGACGAGAGCACCCGATTTAGCTGCTTGGCAACTCAGAATGAGTACCCTTCACAGGGGATCAGCATTACCCTGGGAGCTCAGGCCCCCCATAAGGGCAGAGGTGTGTGCCTGATGCCCTTGTATCCTCAGGGCATTGTGGCTGAAGGGCTAGAGACTCAGGGAAACCCTTGGTAAAAGTGGAGACAGGAAGCCCTACCCAGTGAGAATGTTGCATAGCCACCCCCAACTGGACCCCCTTCTTCCAGATCCTTCCACCAAGAAAAGACTCTCCTTTGCTGCACTGATACTATTACAGGGTTTTCTTCTTAACCCTTAGTCAAGACATTGTCAAGGTCAAGGGTAGCTGGTCTCCAAATATTCTCTGGGAAGACAACTAACTAATCAGGACAACGAATTTAGTTGGATGTTTCTGGAAATTAGTTTGAGGCGCTCTAGAATCATTGACTCTCATAGCTAAGAAAAAGGGTCACACAAAGTGGGTATGAACCCTCCTGTCACTCCTTTTACTTTTTTTCCATGCACACAAGCTCCTGATACTAATTTCTTCTATGTCTTCCCTATTTCACTGTGTCCAGACTCATACTATTTCTCCCACAAGGGGGCACTGTGACGTTGTAGTCCAGAGCTTCCTTGTTTCTTTGATCCAGCTATGCTTCATGCTCTTGGGAGAAAGAACTCCTGTACTGAAGCAGTGGTCTTGGTGCAGGTGCACAGCCAGGGAGAGATATAACAATAGGTCAGGCATGGGCAAGCCCAGGGCAAGGCAGCGTGTGAGCTTTCCCTTACAGAGCATGTGGGCTCTATGCAGGGTATTGCAGAGCAGGTAGTTGCTGCCAGAGAAGGAGTGGAAGATGCCAGGCAACCCAACAGCCCATTCTCACAGCAGGCTTCCACCATGATTTCTTTCCAGCCCTGTGGCAGAACCAGTCTTTTTGGTTGCTGTAAGAATTCTCAGTGGTAATGATCCCACAGACCTTCAAGTTTCTTTGGGTCCTATTTTGGTTGCCCAGTAGAAATAAGAAAAATATCCACCCAGTGTCAAACTCCAAAATAATGCTTTTTCATGGAAAGCAAATTGCATCATTTCTTTAAAGTTATTTTCTATTTGAATACTATTGTGAGAATTGTATGCCTGGCTACTGTGTTTACATCATTTCACTCCACACTTTCCCCCAACTCCTCCCATGTCCCCCATTCCCTCTCATCTTCACCATCTCTTCATTATGTCCATATATGTATGTATGTATAATTACATAAATATGCTCTGCTAGTAATTCATACTAAGGTTTTTCTTTCCCGTCTTATGTTTCTCCTACACCTGCATTTAGTGTATCTAACCTCCTATTGAAGGATGAACCTCATCACAGCCTCACACTGATAGTGCCCAACACCCAAGGTCTACTGAGTTAGACATTGAGGCCCCTTTCTATTCGGTACTAACACATCTCTGTAGCTGTCTCTTCCCAAGCTCTCCCAGATTCCTTTCTTCAGCACCCTGACACCTGGTCACATCGACTCTCACACCTGTTCTATTCTGTTAGTGCCCATGTCACCGACACTAACTACATATCACCCACAGAGCACTTACTGCAGAGCAGTGTCCCCGATGATTGCTGGCTCACACTTTGAGAGCTGGCAAGCAGCTGAGAGAGTAAGATACGAGTCACAGCCTGCGGCACTAGGCTTACAGAACCATCAGATCACAGACTGGATGTGGTGTTTCTGTATGCTTCTCTCTTCTTGGTCACCTGAGAATACACACCTTAGAGTTGTCACAAAACGCTTCTCAAATCCTATTGGAAGGTATTTCTTTTTCTTGAGATATCACATATGCCATTCAGCTCCCACAATCAAGTGCTTAAATGTCAGTGATGTCTGAGAGCCCAGGCCTGCGGCTTATCATGACCCTATTCTGCATGCCCCCCTCTCCAGCTCTTGGAGCTTATGTGTGAACTGTGCAGTTGAATGGATCAGTGTCACACTGCAGGATCAGTGTGGCCAATGCCTATCTGTGTGACCCCAGGTAAACAGTTTCCTTTTTAATTTGTTTCATCTATCACGGAGAGACGCCAAGGTTCCCTTCCTTTGTTCCTACATGGTATATGAACCCCGGGACATGGTTGAGCTTCTGCAGTGATTATTCCAAGTTTACACTAACCCTATCCCAGAGCTGGGCTGAAAGCTAGACAATATTAAAAATTGGAGATGTAGATGGAGCGGTAGAGTTTTTGTTAGAGGTATATAGAAAGGCATATATAGATTTTGTGGGTTGATTTTATATTCTGTCACTTTGCTGAAATTGCTGACAATTTCTAGAAGCTTTCTGATGGAACTTTGGGATCTGTTATGCATAAATTAATAAATCACATAGATGGACTTCAATACAAAACTCGTATGCTCATCTCAACAGATGCAGCTCAACCATGTCCCGGGGTTCAGATACCATGTAGGAACAAAGGAAGGGAACCTTGGCGTCTCTCCGTAATAGATGAAACAAATTAAAAATGCAACCTGCATTCATATTAGTCACAGAAGGACTTCATTACTACATGTCTTCTACAAATAGGGACAACTCACCGTCTTTTCTGACCTGAATGAACCCCATTTATTGCTCTAGCTGGTCCTCCAATCACTATATTGCAAGAGAGGGAACAGGGAACAGTCCTTGTCCCTCCTGATTTTAACAGGATTGCTTCAAGCTCTTCTCCATTTAAGATGATGTTGGCTATGAGTTTGTCACACATGGCCTTATTTTTGTTGATGTAGGTCTCCTGATGTCCTTCTACAACATGCATCATAATCACATATTAAATTTTTGCCATAGACCTGTTGGCATCTATGGCGATAAGCATATGCTTTTTGTCTTGACGTCCATATGATTTATTAAATGCATTGAGTTACTTACCAATCCTTGTATCTCCAGGAGAAAGCCAACTTGATAGTGGTGGATTTTTTTTTTTTTTAGCTGCATACCCATATTCAGTTTGCAATTAGTTTGTTGAGGATTTTTGTATCTGTGTTCACCATGCACATTCACCTGTAGTTTTCTTTATTGTTGTATCTTTGCCTGACTTGTATGTAGAGTAACACTGGCTTTGTAGAAAGAGAGGAAGCATTCCTTCTGTTTCTATTTTTTAGAAGTAATTTAAGAAGTGTTGTGGTAGATTGCGGTGATGTTTTGTTTGTGCTTTAGCAAATAAAGCTTGCCTGAAGCTCAGGGGGTGGAGCTAGTCACTAGCTAGTCAGAGGCCAGGCAGTGGTGGCACACACCTTTAATCCCAGCACCCGGGAGGCAGAGGCAGGCGGATCTCTGTGAGTTCAAGACTACCCTGGGCTACAGGAGATTGATCCAGTCTAAAGAGAAACAGAGCCAAGCAGTGCTGGTACATTCTCTTTCCTCACAACTTAATCCCAGCACTAGGGAGACGGAGACAGGAAGAATGCGGACGGGTAGAAAGAGGAATCTTAGGTAGGAGGAGACAAGAGCTCATGACATTCAGCCTGAGGTTTCGTGGAGACAGGATCTTGCTCACTTTGGTGTGAAGATTCATCAGAAGTAAAAGGTCCTTTACTGGCTGCTCCTTTACTTCTCTGATCTATCAGCATTTATCCTGATATCTGCTTCCAGGTTTATTATTATTATTATTATGATGATGATGATGATGATGATGATGATGATGATGATGATTAAGACCAAATAGAATTCCAGCTAGTGTAGATCTTTGACAGTCTGGTACAATTCTCCTGTGAATCTGCCTTGGCCTGGATTGGTTTGTTTTGGTCAGTTTTTTGTTGTTGTTTAATTTTTGTTTTGTTTTTGTTTTTTGTTTTTTTTTTTGGTTTTTCGAGACAGGGTTTCTCTGTGTTGCTTTGGAGCCTATCCTAACACTTGCTCTGGAGACCAGGCTGGCCTCGAACTCAGAGAGATCCTCCTACCTCTGCCTCCTGAGTGCTGGGATTAAAGGCGTGCGCCACCAACACCTGGTGTGTTTTGGTCAGTTTTTTATTTTTATTTTTTTTGCTGTTTCCATTTCCTTATTTGTCATGAGTCTATTTAAGTTGTTGATCTCCTCATGGTTAATCTTTGGTGGTTTGGGAAAATCTAGAAGTGTATTTATTTTCTTACATAATTTTCTTACATAATGGAGATTTTGAAGGTATTCCTTTATAATCTTCTAAATCTCTTTGGTTTCTATTATGTCTTCCTGTTCATATCTAGCTCTGTTGAGTTGTCCCCATTCTTTCAGAGAATTGGGATAGGGTCTGTCAATCTTTATCTTCTCAAAGAACTACCTCTCAATTTGTTGATTCTTTGCACTATTTTATTTATTTCTTCTTTTATATCTAAAAATTAAAAGTAAACTTTATTATAAAAAGACTTACAAAACTATACACCAAAGATAACATCTAGATAGCCTAATGAACTACTATACAGTTAGACTGTATAGTATATGGATCATCTGAAATGGAAATTGTGTAGCTTCAATGGACTTTATGCTTTCACTACTGAATATATTTTATACACTTATCTATCATCAGAATAAAAAAATCTGTGATAGGTGTGAAACTAAAACAATTAACTTTATATCCTATTTCAAAACTCAAAGCTATTACCTGCATTCACTCCTTTCTCTTTTCCTAATATTTAGCCTTTCTTGTTATCTTTTCTAATTTGTTTACATATATGCATATATTATTGGTTAGTTTTGAAATCTGAGAAGGATTATGCAGTCTTTTCTATCTGAGACTAGGTGATCTCACTTAAGATAATACATTCTAAGTCCATCCATTTTCCTTCAAATTTTGTGAAATACATTTTTATTCAAAGCTGAATAGCATGTGTGTGTGTGTAGGGAGTATCCCAAATTTTCATTATCTATTCACTGGTGAAACCCAGCAGGAAAAGACTGTGCAAGCTACAGAATTAGGCCTGCATGTGTGGAAAGCAATGTTGCAGTCTTGTAGTAGACTTGTTTTCTGAAGCCTCCTAAACTCTTGCTACCTGATGCAGCCAAAGAGCAGTACAGCTGGGTCATATGGTCCCTTTCTTTGGCACATGCCCAAGCATTGCACCCTCTCTCCTCAGGCCCAAAATGACTT